AAAAAGAGTGAAGTCCTGGCACATGCTACTACGTGGGTGAACCTTGAAACCATTATGCTAAGTGAAAGAAGACAGAGGTACCAGGCCATATATTCTCTTCTGTTTATATGAAATATCCAGAATAGGCAAATCCAGAGACAGAAAGGAGATTCATGGTTGCCAGGGCCTGGAGTGGAAGGAACAGGGAGTAACTAACTGTTCATCGGTATGGAATGATTTTTTAGGGGGTGGTTTTGAAATATTCTGAAATTGGATAGTGGCGATAGTTACACAACTTAATATAGGCGATATACTAAAAAGCTCTGAATTGCTTTCTTTGAAAGGGTGAATTTTATGATACGTGAATTGATTTCTATTAAAAATTAAACTCACATTCTGTTTGCAGATCGATTTTGTATCAACATTCTCATACTGCTGAATGTTTTTATAGAGTCTTGGGGATAGAAGAGACCCAGGTAATCATCTAGTCGACTCCCAGCCAGGTACAAAAGTCCCCTCTACAATATTTCTAGTTTTATTTTTGTTTTCTCCTGGCTGGGTGACAAAGTACTACTTTAAATACTTTAAGACACAGAGACTAGCTACCTAGAATAAGTCCATATCAGATATCACTTCAAGGCTTCCACTAGCTCTATCAAAACACTCCGCCCTTCAGGCCAATCTCAGCCTCAGGGCCATCCTGACATGTTGGTGTTTCTGGAGGTTCAAATCCGAGAGTTCAGTATGTTTACGGTTAGCCTTAATTTCCCAATGGGTGGGAGTAACTCCAAGCCAGAAGGCCACAACACAGAAACAGAAGGCTGATTTCCTCTCTCCCTGTCTTCCACCTTTCTACCACATTGCCCATAAATCACTCTGATTTTAAGTCTAATCAGTCTTATGAATGCACACCCCCAGCCATCTCTTTAGCATTCTATTATCTCACCTAGGCATCAAAGTGATTTTATTCACTATCTGACCTTGGAGATATCTGACCTTGGCCTGAAACTGCTTCCTGAGGATTCAGGCTGTTTGGTCACCTCGTATCCCCTTCCCAGAACCTCATTTCTATGCCATTTGTCTAAAGCTGGGTGACCCTGACTGACCTCTGAAGTGCACCTTTCATCTACTTCTCTCGGAAGCTGTTGATGCTTTGCACAGTAGTGAAATGAGAGTGAGCATGTAGGTGGGTGGGGTTCTCTAATGACTATCAAGCAACATCCCAATGTTTTAACAAACCCATTCCTCATTCGTTTCTCAATATTTCTAAACCAAGAAACACTTGGCACAGGGTGTCCCAGTATGGGGTGGGATGGGAAAGAACAATCTAGGTCTCTTATTTCCGTTGCTGAAATTCTGAGACTGAAGAATCAGATCAGATTCCTAGCCAGCTTAGCCCCTGTAGCCCCTCTGCACTCATGACCATTGCTCTGGATGCAAGGCCACGTGAGCAGGGAGGTTTGAGCTGGGCATCACTCAGTGCAGGCACTCCTGTAGGACCTCAGTCCATGATAGATATTGCAATTCGGGAGCACCCACTCATTCAACAAACATGCCAAGCTCTACTCTGCCAGGCACCATTACATGTCCCTGAAGTCTCAAACAATCCTATGAAGTAGGCAGTGGGGTTACCCTTTGTTTTATATGAAATGAAAGCTGAGAGGTTTAGCATGCAACTCATTCGAACTGTTTCCCATGTGCATACACTATGGGCCAGAAAGGGGTCAAACTGAGAGCACAACTAATCCAACCTCGACACCTAAAGAGCCCAAACTCCCATGGTTTTTGCTGGATCCATCAGCGCTGCTGCTCCATCATAGTCACACTGTTTCTCTGGATCAGATTCCAGATACCAGGCTACTTCAGAACTTTGATTTGGGTTGACTCTATTCTGGGTATGAGGCTGACCTCTGGTGGCCACCTGGTTAATTAATTTGCTCAGATCATAATTTTTTTTTTTTTTTTTTTTAAAGGCTAAGATTCTGGCTCTAGGCAGGTTGTAGGGACGGAGAATTGAATGAGGCAGTCCCTGCCCTGCAGTCCATAGTCCGGCAGGGAGACAAGGACAGGACAGGTGAAAAGTACTGTGATAAATGGAAATATAGAGGCCATGAGATCACAGAAAGAAAGAAATAATATTAACTACCCACGATGTTGATAAGGCACCCGCAGTATTTACTATCTCATTTAGTGCTGCTCATTACCCTCGGGCACTTACTATGATCATTTCACACCTGATAAATAAACATGGTGGCCCGGATTGCTCAGCTAGTAAGTAGAGCCAGGACTCACACTTAGGTCTTCTGACTCTACTGCACCCAGCTCAGCCCAAGGGAAAGGCCTGGTGGGAGGGACACAGGATCTTACTGGATGAGAAGGAGGTAACCAGGCAGGAGAGCGAAGGGCATTGAGCTTGTGAAACACATAGAGGTTGCAATGAATGGTGTGAGGCAAGGAGAGGCAGGGAGGAAAGGCCTGCACGGAGGCAGGGATTGTGCACCCCGCAGGAAAGTCCACACGTTGTCCAGCGAAGGGAAGCCACGAAGGTTTTCAAAGGAAAATGAAAGGATCATACTTTTGTTTCTAATGCTGGCTCTGCTTCAGTGTGCAGGATAGGTTGAGGGGTTGACCTGGAGCTGGAGGCCACTCAGGACACTGCTGCCCACGCCAGGGATGCTGACCTGACAAGGTGGGAGATCCTGGGAGTCAGGGGGTGACCCCATGTTCCTGGCTGGGGTGATCAAGAGAGTGGTGTACCAGCACTGCAAAAGGGAACCTAGCTGGAAAGCAGGTTTGAGGACAAGGTGGTGAGTCTTTTTTATTCATTTATTCAACATGTTTTATCGCGTACAGACCCCTCAGCACCGAGAGAAGCCCGGCATACAGCAGGTGCTTTGCAGATGTATGTGGTGGATGGATTTATGAATGAAAGTAAGAGGCTTCTGTTCTCTACCACTAACCCCACTCCTACTTTTTAGCAATGACTGTTTTCACTCTTCCTTGATAACCAGCCACTCCCTAACACCATGGGAGATTTAGGCATGAGCAAGAGACAGCCATGGTGAGGGGAGACACAGGTAACTCTGCCTGTTGGTACCACGTACTTCTCAGCTACTGGGTGCAGTAGAAGCTGAACTCAGAGGCAGCCCTGACAGAAGGGAAGTCACACTCCAGGAAGGAGAAGTCAGCCCCACTGAGCCAAGCAAGGGCTACCCTGAGTGGTGGGCTCCCACGTTCTGAATTCATTATGCAGCTGCAGACACCAGGGCGCTTTAGTTTCCCTTAATTAATTAAAATATCACATAATAACCATTCTCTGATTTAATGTTCAAAAGGCCCTGGCGAAGGCCGGGAGTAAGAAAATTCATTAGAGGAGACTGTTCACTCTCGACCAATTTGCTCGTTCTTATTAATTTTTCCCGCATCGCCCATCCCTGAGGGAGAGGGGAAGGCAATGTTTCTTTTTAAAGAAATAGGTTTAAATTCACCATGAAACCTGAAGGAAAAAAAAAAAATCCATTTTGACTAAAAATCAGACTTTTTTATTTAAGGTGGGAAGCGGGTACATTTGAGATTGAACAATGGCTTTTGAATTATCTTCCTCGAGCCGAATTATAACTCAGTTGACAACAGAAGACTGAGATTTAGGCTGCCTACTGCTTACAGCATCAAGTCGGACCCTTCTCTGGTGGCATTTAGGGGTGTGGCCTACGTCCCCCACCCCTCCACTTGCCACTACAGCGTTCAGCAGCTGCCATTACTCCCTGCTCACAAACTGTGCTACCCCTCTCCACCCCTGCTCCTTTCACTTGCTGTTTCTCCAGCCGGAAATGCCCCCTGCCCACTCCAACCCCCAGCTCAAGAGCCTCCTCTTCTCCTCTTCTGGGAAGTCTTTCCTGGTCTTCCAGTGCTTTGATCACAAAGCAGACACCATGTGCTGCCTGGCAGGACGACAACTTTGTCCCACTCCTCCTGAGTTCAGGGCCACTGAGTTCGGGGCCCAGGTCCTACCCACCTTCACAATGCCAGCCTCAAGAATGCTACTCCGTGTGCATGCGGGAGGTGACCGAGGGTAGATCTAAGTGAGTTAACTAAATACTAGAATGTTTATATAGTCAGAGACCCAAGTTCAAAGGGGACCTAGAAGGATCAGGCCAGTAGACGATTAGGACTAGTTAAAAACTGCAAGCAAGGTGACCAGGCGGGGCTGTGACCACAGCCCAGGCGTGAGTAAGGATTCGGACTGAAGGAGCTGATGTGGCCCAGGAAAACAGGGGCAAGGTGTATAAGGGAGGATGGCGAAGTATCGGTGGGACCCTGACCACCTGCAGCAGCGTTCCAAGGGCAAAGAGACCACAGAGGCTGTCCTTACAAAACGTTTATTTTCAGGGTGCAGGGGTCATGTGACATCATCACATCAATGAAATCGGGTAGAAAACACAGGCTCTGGGGATCATGTTTCCCAATGATAACAGCCACGGCATAGTCTCTCGGCCTCTACGGAGGTCTTGGGGCTCTCACCAATGAAAAATCATTAGGTTAGAATAATCATGTTCATCTACCTTTTTGGTTTTGGCAAAAATTTGACAGCATAACATTATTATTATTTTTTGCACACAATTATGATGCTATACCGTCCTCATGCAGTCTTAACGCTCAGCTCCATCACCACGGGGCTCCATCCACCCTGCTCTCTGGCTCTGGATTCAGCTGTTCAATTCCGATTGGGCAAATGTGAGAGGTTCAACTGATTTCACTAAATGTGCTCATTAGCAGATGCGTGATATTGGGCCTCAGCATCGCTATTCCTCCTGACAGTGTTTCACTAAATGTATTAACCAACCATGCAAATCACAGAGGCATTAACTGCAGACCTCGGATACAGAAATCTTTGTGGTAGGGGTAGGTGGGAGAGGGGTAGGAGGTGCTGAGTACTGAGGGGATGTGAGCAGGTCCCCAGCAGCCCCAGCCTCCAACAGACAAGGAGAGCTTCCAGTTTGATCCGTTTCAATTCTAATTTTATGGAAAAAAGGGGTTCTAATGTTTTAAAGTTTCATTCCCTTCTAATTCAAATGAGGAAACTAAGGTCCAGAAAGTGAAGGTGACTCACTCAGGGTCACACAGCAAGCCAGGGGTGAATTCCCAAAAGGACCTCATGTTTCTGGATTCCCAGGCCAGCCTCCTGCTATGCAGAACATCAATATTTCAGATGTGGAACAGCCAGCCATAAAGGCAGAAAATGCGATTCCAAAAAGGACCCCAAAATGTCATACCCACTGTGGGTTGCATGAGGGTGAGCTTTAAAAGTTGACATGGACCTGGATAATAATCCCTGGAACCTGTGGGACTGGCAGCATCTTCCCTTACAAAGTTATAAGATTATCCTGAGTAGTGACACACGGAGTGAACAGGGTGCCACAGAGAGCCAGGTGCCCTGAGTTCTGGTCCTTCTCAGAGGACTTCAGAGATTGGGAAAGCACTTAACTCTCAGAGCCTGGTTTCTTCATCTATAAAAGGGGAAGGGACATTACTACTTTCCCTGCCTGCCATCCCAGAGTTGGGAAGTGACCACAGGTAGAAAAGTGCTTCATGAACTTTAAAGACTAGTCATATGTGAGTTCCCAATTCTGACTTTAAGAAATTTTACTCACCCAAGGGATCTGATTTTTAGCCCAGATATTAAATATTCTCCTTCTTTCTTTCTTCATTAAAAAAAGAAAGAAAAAGGAAGGAAGGAATGGAGGGAGGGAGGGAGAAAGGCTGTAGGGCTCAAAGAGATGTAATTTTTGTTAAAGAGAGAGGGAGAGGGAGAGGGAAGAGAGAAAGAAAAGAAAGAGAAAGAAAGAAAGAAAGAAAGAAAGAAAGAAAGAAAGAAAGAAAGAAAGAAAGAAAGAAAGAGAAAGAAAGAGAGAGAAAGAAAGACAGCCTGCCTTATTCCTGGGTGAAGTCAAAACACCTCTAAGTAAAACATATTCTACTACACTCTAATTACACAGCCCAGAGAGAGCATCTGACCCTGTTTTTACAATTTGGTGTCCAGAAGCCAGGTCTCCACTGCCCATCTGGTTAGTGAATGCTGGGCTTGTTAACAAGTGGATATCTTGGTCCCCAAATGCCCAGCCAAGGGTACTTCTGAGTCTGGTAAAGTGTCCCATTTAGGATTAAATCTTTTTAAAATGGGAAAATGGCAGGAATAGAAGAGCTATTGCCAGCTGTTCACACCCTAGTATGAAGCAGTGGCATTTATTTTGGAGGAAATGGCTACTTTAAAAAGAATGCTAAGACCACATTTCCTGTATTTTTTCCATAGAGCCATCTTACTCTAGTATGGCAGGGCTCAAAGGGACATGGGTAACATCCAGTCCAAATGTCATATTCACAGGTGAAGAGACCTAGGCCCAGTGAAGGGAAGGACCTGTCTAGGTCACATAGCAAGTTAGAAGTCAGGCAGAGGGAACCCCGGCCTCCCCCCGCCTCCGCCCCATCCTCCTATAACACACAGACAAATGAGGTAAGAGTCAGAGCTGACACATGCCTCGTTCAGCCCTTTAGAATTACGATTATGTCACAAAGTGATCTTCCCTGGGAGAGAGTAGTTAAAAAAAATTCTCACAGAGCGATTCATTTCAAAAGTATAAAAAAGCTACATGCAGTCTGTTTTCCCAGTGTTTTCCCTGCTAAAAACTACATCTGTGTATGAATCTAGTTTGCATCTAATTTTTAAAAACATACAAAAGGGTTAACCTACAAACACAGTTGTCCCAATTCTTCACAAAGCAAAATGATCCAAGGCTTGACTTTTCTGTCATCCTGTGATCAATGTTTTTAAGACCTATAAGAAAAGAGAAAAAAATTAGAGAAAAGAAGCCTGCTCTGTCACAGTCAACCATGTGTTAAATGGAGGGGGGTGGGAAATAAATGGTCTTTAACTTTAGATCTCTCCCTAGCAAGGAATAGTGTGGGTGAGAAGCAGAGGGGCCCTGTGGGGACCCAGAAGTACACGTATAACCAGTGAGTGGACATTTCAGGGATGCAGATTCCAGCTTAATATGAAGAAGAACTTCCAGCAGCTGGAAAATCCAAAGATGGTTGTCTTGTGGTAGTGAGCTCTGTATCTCTGGAGGTATGCAAGCAAGAGCTGGTCGATAGTGCATGTTATAGAGGGGACTCAAGAACTGGGCTGTGACCATTTCTCCAAAGTGGATATACAGATGGCTGACAGACATATGAAAAGATGCTCAACATCACTAATCATCAAAGAAATGCAAATTAAAACCACAATGAGATATCATTTCATACCTGTCAGAATGGCTATCATCAATGAATCAAAAAACAAGTGCTGGCGAAGATGTGGTAAAAAGTGAACCCTTGGGCAGTGTTGGTAGGATTGCAAATTGGTACAGCCACTATGGAAAACAGTTTGGAGGTTCCTCAAAAAGTTAAAAATAAAACTACCTTATGACCCAGCAATTCCACTTTGGGATATTTATCCAAAGAAAAACAAAACACTAATTCGAAAAGATATATGTACCCCTATGTTCACTGCCGCACTATTTACAATAACCAAGATATGGAAACAACCTAAGTGCCCATCGATAGACAATTGGATAAAGAAGATGTGGTACATGTATAAAATGGAATATTACTCAGCCATAAATAATGAAATCTTATCATTTGCAATGACATGGATGGACCTAGAGAATATTATGCTAAGTGAGATAAGTTAGAAAGAGGAGGAAAAATACCATATGATTTCACTTATATGTAGAACCTAAATTTAGAACAAAATAAACAAACAAAACAGAAACAGACTCATAGATACAGAGAACAAACGAGTGATGCCAGATAGGAGGGGTTAGGGGGCTGGGTGAAAAGATGAAGAGATTGAGAAATACAAAATACAAGACGGTCATGGGGATGTGAAGTACAGCATAGGGAATATAGTTAATAAAAAGGTAATAATTATGTATAATGCCAGATGGGTACTAGACTAATTGGGGGGAATCATTTCATAAATTATGTAAATGTCTAACCACTACGCTGTATACCTGAAACTAATAAAAAATATTATTGAAATTAACTTTAATTGAAAAATAAAAATAAAAATAAAAAAGAACTGCGCTATAGCAATGATCTTAAAATTTTATGGTTCTTTGTGGCTCCCTTTTGAAAACTCATTTATAATACACTATATTCATAGCCTGGCATCATTTGTTTTTTAAAAAAAGTACATACATATTTATACTTATATATATAAAAAATGAAATATATGTTAAAACATACATATACGTACATATATATGTACACACGTATAAATGTAAAGGACAAAAAGTTCTAATACTTGACTTTTTGTTACATATTTATAGAACACACACACATCAAACAAAACGTCAAGTATCAGGAGGGCAACTTTAAGTCACCTAACTGAATTTTTATTTGACGGTTTTACACGTTCTATTTTCCTCTCCATTTCTAGGAGCTCTTACTACTTGCACTCACCCACCCATCAACCCCTTAAGAAACCACAGCAAAGTCTTCCTTTACTTCCCCAGTTCTAAGTCACTTCTCTTGCCTCAAACTCACATATGCCCCACATTTCCTTAATATTGCATTCCTTGTGCTTTAATTACGTCCACTTTTCGGTTTTCTGTGCATTCCCTACAGATCTGATGTAAGGCCTGTACACAGGAGATGGCAGCTAAATACAGAATAATACGGATTACAACCACAGCAAAATCTCGCTTTTCATAAACTGTTCAACTTGTTTAATTTCTCCTGCTCTATTAAAAACTTGTCAGTGGGCCTTGGTGATGGTGCTTGTTTGCGACTATTCCTTCATCCCATCCTGTAAGAGGATCACGCCTCCCTGACCTTGGCCTCCTGTGAGAGAAGCAGACATCCCCCAACCCCAATAATGCTAATGCTGGGTATGGCCACGTGACTTGCTTTGCATAATGGACTTAAGCAGATGTGACATATACCACATCCAAGCAGAACATTCAAACTGGATTGTGTGCTTGGCCGTATTCCACATTGGAACTGCTCCTCCAGCTGGGTCTCCATGTGAGAAGACACATGGAATGGAGTCACAGCCAACCCACAGGACGCCTATGACATGGAACGAGAGCAAGAGATAAATGTTGGTGGTCATGAACCAGCGAGATTTGGGGGGTTGTTAAGCAGCAAAGTCTGGCTAATAAAGGGATTCGTTTCCTAAGTTCACAGCCCGCCTATTGGTGGGGGGAAGCTTCGGCCCCAACTCTCACCCAGGTGACCATGAGGACTGAGGGCCACCTGGCCTGGGGCAACACAGATTCTTTGCGGATGTGCTGCTAAGCAAGCACAATGTTAAGGACAGGGAGGCACAGCCTAGAGATGCCAGAGCTGCTGACAAGGAGGAACCTGGACACAGACAAATGAAGCTCACATTATCTCCTTTCCGGGCATCTTTTCACATGGGTGCTGTCACAGTGACAATGTCTGCCCTCTCAGTGCCCTCTCTAGGAGGATCTGTAGGAAATAGTCTGTTCAGTCTCAGAAACAGAAAGAATCGACTGGTCCTCTTCACCTATGAATGCGCATAATGTTCACAGCTCTTGACTTGCACGCTAGGTGGGAAGCCCAGAGTGATATGCCTGTAGAACATACTAGAGATTCTACTGGCTAACTGCAATATATTCCTTCTCTTGTTTTGCATTCCTCTAGTTTCCTTGATTTATGTATTTTTCTTCTTTTTTTATTACACATCTTATAAGCCATTTCAATCTCTTGTGACACAGGTGTATCAAGACTGAAAATGACAGAACATGTCCTTACTCCGTCACATGCGGTCATCTGCAGCTGGAAAGGTGGGTGTACTCAGATCGATAACTGTCACCGTGCCATAGGACAAGGCCTCCCCGACCGCGTTGGCCGAATGGCACTGGTATACTCCCTCGTCGTCCTTTCTCAGAGGGCTGATCTAGAAATAAAACAGGCACGTTTATACAGTGCTATATGGCACAGCAAAATCAATTCCTTATTTAGTCTTAATATGTCTGAACACTTATTTCTTTTCAAAATAAGCTAGAGTTCACTCTATTTCTCCTCTTGCTTTGGCTGCCAAGGAAGAATTCAATTTTCTTCTCAGTACCCTCTCCATCATGCCTCTCCATTTTAGTGTTTCCCCTGCATTCTTGCCTTTTACTGTGAGCTACCTGATGCTCTTATTGAAGGTGATAGGTATAGATTATAAAGAAAATGCTGCAAATGAACAAAAATCTACTGTACAAGTGCTCCCAATGGAGGAAGCCTTAACACCTGAGATAACTTTTTCTCCACATTTTCTTGTAATAAAGTAGGGAATGTTAGGGTCACCGTGCCCTCGGACGCTGTCCAGCCCAAAGCCCTCGTTTTACAATTGTGGACATCGAGGCTCAGAGTTGAAAAAGCCATGGGCTTGACTGCATTCTGAGTCTCTGAGCCGGGTGCAGAAGAGTCACCAAACCTCGCAGAGATGGGGTGCAGTGAGGAAGACACCCCCGGACGGCAGCCTGTTCTCCTGCCCCTGCAGAGCAGACCCACATCTGTTCTCTCCTCTCTTGCCTTCCCTTTTTACAGCAACCTCTATCAAGTGTGAGTCACTCTAGAAGCTGGCGAGGGTTTATGCATACCATCTCATTTCGATCTCAAATCGACTGTGGATGAAGGGGGAGCATCTTTATTCTCATGTTACAGGAAGCTCGCAGGTAAGTCACAGACTGTTACAGTCATAAGACCCTTGGATGCTGTCCAGTCCAAAGCCCTTTTTTACAATTGTGGACACTGAAACTCAGAGAGGAAGAATGCCTTGCCCAACATAGACCCGTCTCATCACTCCAGTGCCCCTTCAAACACATGGCATTCCCTCATCTTAGCAAAACTGCTGCAAGTGGCACAGAAGAGCCATGAAAGGACGTGAATGTGCCATCTTCCCTCCTCACCAGCCATGTGGTCTTGGGCAACTTACTAGTTTCCTATGGCTGCTGTAACAAATTGCCACACACTTAATGGCTTAAAACAACATACATTTATTATCTACGGCTCCTGAGATCAGAAGTCCGAATGGGTCTCGGTGGGCTAAAACCAAGGTGTCAGCAGGGCTGCCTTCTTTCTAGGGGCCCTAGGGGAAAATCCATTTCTTGCCTTTTCCAGTCTAGAGGCTGCCTGCATTCCTTGGCTTGTGGCCCCCTCTTCCATCTTCAAAGCCAGCAGAAGGGTCATATCTTTCTCACACTGCCATCTCTCTGGCTCTCTTTCTTCTGTCTCCCTCTTCCACATTTAAAGGACTCATGGTTACATTGGGCCCACACAGATGATCCAGGGTAACTTCCTTATTACAATCAGCTGATTATCAACCTTCATTCCATCTGCAACCCTAATTCCCTCTTGCCGTGTCACAGAACGTACCCGCAGGTTCTAGGTATTAGGTCATGGACATCTTTCCAGAGCCATAATTCTGCCTGCCAATGAAGATCGCTTACACTCACAGGAGTCATACTACCTACCCTGCTTTCCCCACACTTATTGTAGCATCCAATGAGAAATGGCTAAGCACAGTTCTGAAACATGTAATGTGTTATAGAAATATAAAGAGTGCTTTATAAGAGCCAGTCAATAATAGGCAGTAATCCTAAATAAATGAGATACTGACCAAAATCCAGGCTGTGGCCTCATGGTCAGAAGGGCCCCCTCGCACCTGGACAGCTATGTTGATGTGGTCCCCAGGCAGATCCTCCAGCACCTGGGTGCCCTCGGGGGACCGTGTGACCTAAAGAGGACAGGAAAACCAGGAGTGGTTTAGAAAAAGCATTTCTGGATATGAACCATCCCACAGACATCTTGCTGTCTTCATTATTCCACTGACTCAAAGGCCAAAACTCCTGTGTCTTTTATTCTTACTAAAATATCAGTCAATTTTAAAACCCAAACATCTGTACAGACAGCACACTCTGATGGACAGACAGCAAAGATGCGGACACCACGACTATCTTGCAGAAGCAGTTCAGAATTCCACGGCCCTTCTCAGGGCCGTTGAGACACAGGGACAACCTAGGCTGTGATCCACGCTAGTCTCTCAAAAACTAATCTGCAGGAAGATCTAATTTTGGAATATCATTGGGTCATCTTCTACCAGCTGTCTTTCTAAAAGCCAGATCCAGTGAAGTAGGCTCTAGCTTCACTCTAGCTGGTCTAAGCTAGATAAACAGCAGGACTTTCTAGACAGCTAAGCGGCCAAGGGAGCAAATGGCACAGGGAGGATGGCAACTCCTGTTCCCTGGGGAGAGCTTTAGGGTAAAAGTCTGAGGCATAAACCTGGAGGCACAGAAGTGGTGTATATAAGATATCCTTTTAAAATCCTCTGATCCACATGTAAAGATATATACACAAACATAATTAAAAAACATTTACATGATATAAGATATCCTTTTAAAATCCTCTGATCCACATATAAAGATATATACACAAACATGCTTAAAAAACATTTACGTGACTCTCTCTCTCTCTCTCTCTCTCTCTCTCACACACACACACACACACACACACACGCAGAGTTCTTGAATATAAATACCTTCTTCCACGTGATGACTGGGGGAGGCACAGCCCTCACCTCACAGGACAGGTACACCTGTGCCCCGGTGATGTTGTGAACACCCCGGGGTGGAATGACGACCACAGGAGCTGGGAGAAGGGAACACAACTTTACTCCTCTGCCAGGTCCCGAGCACCCCACTTCTGGGGTGCAGAGCCTGCTGGGATAGTCTAACGTGAGGGGAGCAGTGGCGGACGAAATCTCTCCACACAGAAAAAACGGACTCTCAGGCAGGGAATCGTGGAAGAGAGTTTGCCTTAGACCTGCTTGTTTCCTCACCCACCACTTTTGTCCTACCAACAGGACAGCGGGGGTCCGGAGAGGAAAGGCGACTTCCCAAAGTCACCCAAGACGTCAGTGGCAGAGCTCCTGTCTCGTCACACTCCCTTCCAGGGCCCCCCGGCTGCCATCTGCTTTCAGCTCAACTACACAACAGGGTGGCAGGATCCGGGAGGGGCTGGTGTCACTTCACTGACAGCAGAGTCTTCTAACAGATGGGCTTTTCTCCTTTCACAGGGAGGGAGGGTGTTTCAAAGAATAATGCCATGTAGGACAGCTGCAGCCCCCCTGGAGCTGAGACTCCCTGCAGTCCGTTCAAGATGCCCATTTGCATATCATAGTCCCTATTCAGGCCTCCCCCTCCCCACACACCTTCCCGTGGGGTGGGAGGCAAAGCTTTGCACCTGGAAGCCATGGAGAGACTGGGAATCAGGCAATGTGGATCTAGGCTGCCAGAACATTACGGCAAGGAGAGAAGGGTGTGGGCTGGCTACATGGGACCAGAAAGCATGTAGGAATCTGAGTAAGAAATTCTTAGCTGTTACCCCACACTCTGCCCTCCTCCCTGTGCCTGGCATCTGCTCTGTTCTAAAAGAATCAAGTCCATTGGCCTCAGCCTTCAGGCCCTCCATCCGGCCCCTCAGTGTACCTGCCTTTGTATAGAATGTACTCCCCAGCTCCACAGATGGATGGCTTCCCATCCTGTAGGGCTTAGAGGGAATGTGCCTAGGCTAGGAGCAGAGGGTCTGCACCTCTTTGACTGGCTGAATCATAGCCTGCCTTGCAGGCCAGGTGCTTCCATTTGGTCTCACCTGCACAAGAAGGCATGCTCGGCCCTACAGTGTCTTGGGCAAGGTGCAACGTGGAGCCCTGAGGAAAATGCTCTCTACTCGGTTTTGCTTGTCTGTAAGATGCTCCACAGGGCTATTGAACTGATCTAACCATGTGATGAGTGTAGAAGTGATGGTTTAAGTTAACATGACATGCAAGTAGGGGTCAGGAGCAGGTCTGGTAAACATATGACTGAATGAAGAAACACACGACAAATAAAAGAGCAAACACATCCATTCTCAGGCCATCCAACTGCAGAGTCTGTGGACTTCTGGGACTTTGCCTGGTGACCCAAGGGCAGCCTTTCAGGCCAGGCTTGGAGGGGAAAAGGAGAACAAAATGAGGGAGACAGGAGGCCAAAGGAAGAGGGGAGAGAGAGAAGAATGAAAGGGTGTAGAAATTAAACTGGTCTCGTCCTTCGGACAGACTGGGAAGCAGACCTTGTCCAGCCAGTGCCAAAAATCTCTGGAAAATTGTGTTATGGCCACAGAGTCTCAAATCGGAGGGATACAACTCCCCAAGATCCTGTGCCTGATTATCTGTGATGTGCTCATCTAGCCTCCACGGGCATTGCTCTAGTGACAGAGAGCTCACCACCTGTGCGGCCAGGCCCTTCCATCCTTGGAGGGCTCGGCTGGTAAGAAAGCCTGTCTTCACCTGGAGCTAAAATCTGCCTCCCTGTAACTCCCACCTATTGATCCCAGCCCTATAGCCACCTGGGTACCCTAAGGGCCTCCAGTGAGTTGAATACGGACACTGCCTTCCTCCTCACCAGGCTGCTTTCTTTGCCCTCAGCCTGATCAGCCCACTCCTTTGGTTGTGCCCATTTCGTTGCCCTTCAAACACCAAACCCCTACCACATCCCTGAGTATAGTCAAAGTCCCCCCAGTGAACCAAGGTCCTAAGCTTCTAACACTGCCCGATGCGCCCCAGCCACCTGCCCGGCTGCCACAAAGAACCACAACACCCCTGCTCTCTGGCAGGAGCCCCGTCTGTACAGGTGACAAAGAAAGTCTGATTTATTCACATCCTTCTGCCAGCACTGCCTCCTCTGGAGCCCAAAGCAGTCCCCGAATGGCTCACTGTGGGAACAATCAGAACAGCATCTTAATTCTGGCATCCGAAGCCTTCAATGGATTTCAAAAGGACACTCAATTAACGTGTTTTACTTTCGTTCACGTAAAGTCATAAATTTTAAATGAGATTTCATCAATCCCTTTCAGGCCTAAATGAATAAACCAGTAAATCACATTTCACCTTTCTTCACATTTCCATCTCCCTCTCTTCCCTCAGCTACAACTAAGAAAGACTATTTTGGAAATACCGTGTTCGCCACTGACTTTGTGGCAGAAAATACCATTTCCTTTACAAAAGAGCCCCCTGCTTTTGATGATAAAGTGACATTGGAATTTTTAATTTTTAAATGTGCATCACTCTTTCTGGTATTCGGTTCTAAGTTTTGACAAATGCATCGAGTCGTGAAACCACTGCCATAGCCAAGATATAGAACAGTTCAGTTATCTTGAAAAATTCCCTAATGTGTCTCTTTGTCATAGTAATCTGTTTTTAATTTTAACACGTCTGGTTTTAAATTGAAAATATCTTTATCCCTATCAGCTCTTTACAATCCGTCATCATCATCGTAGTAGTAACAGCGGTAATAACGCCACGGGCTGACACCGAGAGCCTGCTGTGTGCCAGGCACTCCTCTTCGGCTTAAGCAGATTATCAACCCATTTGATTTTTCTGGCAGTCTCGCCAGCTGCCTGCTGGGGAAGCTAGCCAGGGCCACCCAGCCCTAAATGGTGGGACAAGGCTATGCATGAGCCCAGGGACCAGGCTCTGAGCTCTGTCCTCAGTACCTCACCTTCTCCTTACATGACACTTCCGCATACACTACTCTTTCGTGCTCACACCAGCCCTGCATTTATCCCCATTTTACAAAAGAGAAAACCAAGGTTCAGAAAGGTAACATGCTTGGAGGAGTGGGGACTCAAACCCAGGCACCCCAAGTCCATTAACTTCACACGAATTTTTTAAAGGAAGCATTTGTTATTCTGTATGGACTCCATTCTAGCACAAGAAAGAATTCCTTAGGGATTGTATCGGGGGTCCCCAAGGCAACCCCAAGTTCAATGATTTGCCAGGAGGACCACGGGACTCAGTTTTACTCACAGCTATGTTTTATTACAGTGAAAGGAGACGAAGCAAACCAGCAAAGGGAAAAAGCTCAAGGGGCAAAGACAGGGGAAACCAGGTGCACGCCTCCAAGAGCCTCTCCCAGCAAGTCACACAGGGCTTGCTTAATTCCTCAGCAGTGAATCGTAACAACACGTGCAAAATGCCATCTACCAGGGAAACTCACTGAGATTCAGTGCCTGATGGTTTTTATTGGGGGCCAGTCACCAAGGCACCCTCTGCCCACTACATACCCGAACTCCAGTCTCCCAGAAGGAAAGCAGGTGTGCAGCTATCTTTCGTACAATTCAGGTGCAGTGAGCCACCCTCAGCCCACCCTCTGGGCATGGCGGGGGGGCCTCCCGAAATCCCAGTTCCCAGACACCAGCTAATGGCCAACCCCGCCAGCAGGCCTGTCTAAGGATACCCTGCTATGCTGACTCTTTTCAGTCCAGAAATGAAACCCCCCAGGCATCATCCCAAGGGAACAGATCTCATGAAGATATCATTAAGTGAGTGATGTATCTTTAACACTAACGGGGCATTCCCAGTCCTACTGTCCCCACGGGGTCATTCGAGGGCAGCACTGGGGTGCTCAATGACTACCACAAGCAGGTTCAAATTCTGTCTCTGCCACACCCCAGAGCTGTGACTTGGCTTCAGTTTCTTCTTCTTTAAGATGGGTATGGGAATCCATTCTCCCTTCCTTTTCTTTCCCATAGGCTGTTGTGAGGAACAGTTACCAGACTCCCTGCAAACTGCAAAAGGCTTCCATGGAGAAACCTGAGGACTCAGCAGGTTGGGCTGTGCTACCTCAAGGGTAGTTTCCTCAAAGATGCTTTGCTTGCGTGAGACCCTCTATTGGCTTCTGATGAGTGGGCCTACCAGCAGGCCCTACCTGGAGGTTCCAGAAGCCCCGGCCCACAGCCCTTCCTCGGGCAAGCCCAGGGCACAGCCTCTCGCTCTACTGTCGCCAGAGCTGCCTCTCTCTTGGAAGAGCCAGGGCTTTCCTTTCTAACTGCCTTTGATGAGTCATGTGGCTTTCAAGAGGGGGAGCATGGTGCCTGGTCAGTCTAGTCTGTGAATATGCCAGCTTTGTCTCTCTAGCCTTTCCTTGCTCAATACTTGTTTCCTTCTCCTCGTGCCAGCGACAGCCCTGTAAATGCTGGGATGGCACAGATCCACTCATCAAATAACACAGAATAGTCACTCAGGTGTGCCCCAATAAAGGCAGCATTGTGGGTGGGCAAAATGGTACCCAAGGAAACCCAAAGGCCCAGGAGTCTGGTCACCAAACACAGGAGCTTGGGCAATTTGCTAACCATTTCCTCCTCACCTACAAATTAAGATGATGATTTCCGCCCATGTCCTCTAGGGTGAAGGGAAAGAATGGATGTGACTGTGGATTTGTACAAATGAAAGGGACTGATATTATTATTATAGCATGTGGTCGCCTGTCCCCCCATCATGTCAACTAAGTATGTCCTTGATGGCTGGCATGAAAGATCTCCCCAAATGCCTCTGAGATTTCTTTAAAAGTTAATGGTGCTAAGGAAAGAAAGAATATCAAAAGTCATCCCCCAGGACCCCATCTGCCTAGAGGAAAAAGCACACAACCAAAGAATTTCATGATCAACGCAGTGAACAACCCTGATAATTTATGCTAATAGTCACGTTGGCATGTGGAATGAGGAACAGCTTAATCCTGCTCCCCGCTGCCTCCGCCTCAAACCCTTCCCTCAGCATGAAAGGCTTTTGAGCACACGGACCCCCTTCTTTGTCCCTCTCACAAAGTGGTATTCGCTGCCTCTCCTGGTTACCTGGTAACACATGCCTCACAAAGACTGAGATTTCTAAGTGGAGCTGGAATTTCAGCCGAGGTGAATTTTCTAAGATTCAGGATCTCAGGAGCCGACTGAAGCTTCGGGGGCTCAGTGTCCTGGTGGACATTGGCACAGGACCCTGTTCCTACCTAATTCAGAACACGACATCAGCCTGCTGTGTGCAGGATGCCACTCTCTCCCAATGTCAGCAAATGGTCAGGGTGCACATGTGGCACAACAGCCTTTTAATGACAGCAATAACAACATAAGAACAACCGTAATTTCATGCCACCTTACAGCTGAGAAATGGAACCAATAATTTAGTACAGAATGAAGCTTCACTCATTAGCCTGGCATGCAAGGCTTGCAATGACCCTGCCCTAAACTACCAGGGGCCTCATCCTCTCCCCCAACCATCCCACTGGGTAGCTGCCCAGCAGGCCCACGATTCACATTCGACTCAGGACCTCCTACCTCCGTGCTTTGGTTCATGATGTGCCTCTCCATCCCCACCCCTTTTCAACCAGAAATTTTCTACCCATCCTTCAAGGCTCCTCTCAGATGCTTCCCCTTCCATGAATGTATGCCTGTTCCTCTCGGGAGCCATCACCCAGTGCTAAAAAGAGGAACCAGCAACAAACCTTGGGGGGAAAATTAGGAAGGTGGATCTAGACTGAGAAACCCTCATGACTCAAATGTAGCCAATTCATGGCACCTTTCTTCTTAGGTTCCCCAGGTTGCCGGCGGGCCTTACCTGAAAAGAGCAAGGAAAACCCAGGCTTGAGCCCCACCTCAGCTGGGAAGTAGCTGTGTAGCTCCAGGGAATTCCCTTCTGCGAGCCTGTTTTCCCTTCTATTAAATGGGAGTGAGACCTGGCCAGGATAGTTGTGAAAACCGAGTAAGAAGATGGGATGCGAATGCCACCCAACAGTAAAGAATATCATATGTGGGAACATAGTAGGTCTTCAATAAGTGTGTGTTGATCAGAGGAATACTCTCATTATTAGGCATTTTGGGGCGTTTCAGGACATAGGAGGAATGGTAAGTGTTTAAGCCTGAAATTGTTCCTAAATGCCCCGCAGAGGCATGTATAAGAACACCTCCCACACTGTGCAGAACCTAATATATGTTTACAGAGGCCTCATTCTATTAAAGTCAGGAGCTCGCATATTGAAGGAGTAGATGAGGAGCTGAGGAGGGGTGATTTTATTACCAATATTGAAGCAGAACAGCTGCTGCTCTGTCTCAGTCTGCTTCCCATCAACTGGGGTCCCCAGGGGCATTGTTAAAAAGTGCTCCTGCTGTGTCCTCTGAATAGAGGATGGCTTTAGGGCAGCACAGTGAAGTGCTGCCTTTGCCTTCGCTAGCTAGGAAAGAACCCGCTATCCATACCTTCATGCTTCATGGGGACACTAGGGCGGTGGGGGCACACAACATTTCAGGACAAAAAGTGATAGGAAAATAGTGCCTGGTCTGTGATGGATGACACAATTTCAGGTGGGGAAGAAGTAAATTCTGGGGAAACCTGGAGCCTGTCACTAATGGGATCATTAAAAGCAGCTTCTGAATTGCCTCCATTTGGTCCCATGGACGTCTTTACGCCTGAGGCCTGTGCCTGAGGTAGGCCTCAGATCCCATAGATCAGAGTGGAGGGGCTGTCACATTTACTTGTCATTTGGTAATTTTCAATGAATTAGGGGTATGGGGTTTCCATCTGCCATCTGGCCTCACTCTGGTAACTATGGCAACCACCACCTGCCTGACTTAACACTATCAAGTCCTGAAAGAGCACTGAACAGGGTGTTGGGGACCTGGGAGCTGGTCAGGCTTTACTGGTCACCCTGGCTGAGTCCCCTGCCCCATCCCCCCGAGTCTCAGTCTCCTCCGCATAATAGTAGATTTGGTCTAAATATCTTCAAGGCATCTCTCTCTTAGGAAGAGAACACCACTCCAGGGAGAAATCACCTGAGATCATCCACACGGTTTAGATTCTGGGAACCTACCTGGTCAGCATTTATGTCTCCTGCATGTGGAGTGAAAGTTACCTGTCTGGAGACAAAGAGAACTGCCTGTGAATTAACTGCTGAGGAAAGCAGATTGTAAAAAACAGGGACAGGAACTAGAAGAAGGAAGGAGACAAGACTGTTTAAGTGCCACAGAGCAGAAACAAAGGTTGGAAGTGGAAGGGACCTCCACAGTAGCTTCCCAGGGGCTGATGTGGCCCAGAGAGGGGAAGGGGTCAGCCCAAGGTTGCTCAGGGAAGCACAGAGCTCGCTCCTCCATGGGAGTCCCTATCAGGAACAGCCAACAGTGATTTTTCCTGTGCTCAACAGACCGCACGCTGTTTTAGTGTTTCTGCGACAGGAGCCTTCCTTCCCCATCTCCAACAACCCGTTGGGTCTCTTGGACCTACATCTACCTGGAATGCTTGAGGGGAAATAATATTAGAAAGTTCCCAATGCCTGTTAAGGCCTACCCTCACCCCCAATTCTTCCTTGCTGGAGCTGAATCATTACACTGACAGGTATTTAGGTCCGGACTGGTCCCCAAGCACGAGCCAGAACCCCCATACAGGCTCCTTGGGACTCCCCAGCCACCAGCTCACTCACCCTAGACTCTCCACAGCCGTCCCCGGGCAGCACAGACAGGGGCAGTTCTACAAAACCTAGTGGGTTGGCAGGTGCTTTGCTGGGCACCCTTAATGTTTTGGTTTATTTTTGTTTGATTTTTAAAAATTATATACACCCATAGATGACTTTACTGTGATGTTAATAAAGCTTAAGTTTCTAGGTCCCCAGCAATGATTAATTTTGGATCCCTTTACTTAAAGTGGGACCCTGCACATTGTATAAGCCTTAGCTCCACAAAACCCGGGTCTGCCCCTGAGGGCATCATAATCTCTTCAAAGCGCAGGGCTCCAAGGGTCTTACCTGTCCTAAGTGGGAGCTCCCTCAGGACCCTGCAGGAGGGCCGTAGCCCTGGTGTTCAGCCAGTGACTACTGAGTCTTGGTGTGGAGCTCCTCCTCGAGTATGTTCACTTTCCCTCTCTCTCCATTCAAACAATCTAACCCCCGACCAGGCCTGGTTCTGGACCTCAGGGACTTGAACTCAGTGGGGCCCGTCTCTCCCAAACTCCCAGTCTCATGGAGGCAAACATGTCAGGCCTGCAAATAACGCCATCAGCAAGCACTTAAGTACCAAGAGTCAGCAGGCTCACCAAATTCCGACCGGCTCGGTGGCTAGGGTCTCCAAGAGCCTGGTAAGGAAGGGTGCAGGATGTGGGTTCCTGCTCCAGTCTCCTTGAGCCCCCTGCCAGATAAGGAAAACTGCTCCCAAAGAGAAAACTGAGGCCCAGGCAGCACTGTCCAACGAGGTCCAGGGGAGATCCTTCGCCCCACACCCCAGAAGATTGGGGTGCCTCGTTTTCCACCCGTCTCACCTTCTCCACTGCGGGGCGGAAGCTAGACTCACCAAATTCACAGGGGCCGTCGCGTGCCTTGTGCAGGTGGCCTAGGTGCGCGCGGGGCGAGTACCGGGCGCGCAGGCGCAGGGCGCAGACACTGGGGTAGGAGCGTTTTGCCGCAGACGGCGCCGCGCTGCGCACACACGCACAGCCCGGTGCCTTCGGGCGCTGCCTCAGAGGCGCGGCTCGCGCACACCAGCCCGGGGCCACAGCGCGCGCCAG